TTCGTGGGTGGGGGCTCGGGTGGGCCTATTGTTCCCACGCTCGCCTCCGCGTGGGCAGTGTTTCGGATTGCCCAGCAAGCCGGGATCCCCAGGCCTTGGTCAAAAGTATAAGCTCCACAACCCACAGATGCATCCAGGCTAAGGTTTGTGTGAGACCTTAGCCAAAAAGGTAGGGAGGCAAGGTGCAAGAAAAACAAAATCCTCGCCTGGGCCGTGTATAGCCGGTTTCACCTTGCTCCCCGTGGGGAAGGTGAGGGGTGCTCTTGTTATCCCTGGGAGGTCTCTTTGTCTCTTGCTTCCTATCACCCCAAATTGTCCTAGATTTGTGCTTTGTCTGCTGGATGTCCCCTTCCCCCAGATCCTCTCTTCTGAGTGTCCACACAGTCTGATAGGTTTCGCTCTGGGTGAAGGGGAGACTGTCCAATCTTCGGAGAGAGGGAGTCCCTAAATAGCCCCTCTGTGTCAAGAGCAGAAGTTACTTTAGCATATCTAGGGTCTCCACTTTGATCACCCCCCCCCCAACTTAGCTCTGTCCCTGCAGTCTGGCTGCTGCTGGAACGGGGAGGGAAAACTAATGGCTTATAGTTCTTAATGGAATATACCAAATGAAATAAACTAGTCTTGCCCCCACCCCTTTTCTTAATCTGCTCTCCCTGTAGTGTGTGGCCCACGGTGCCCTCTTTGTATTCGAGCCGCGTGGGAAGGGAGTGAGTTAATGCGAGCCTCTAGGTCCCCACTGATACGTTCCTGGCAGCCAGCTCCAGGCTGCTGATGCAGCCTTCCCGACTCCAGCATTGATTAAGTGATGTCATCTCCATCACTGAGCATGCTCGGACTACCCACCCCCCACTCCCCCAGTGATTCCAGTACTGTTGTATTTAGGTCAAGTGATTGACAGGTGACAGTTTTCTGAGAGTGTAGCTAGAGAACACCTAGCCCTTCCCAAGCATGAGGCCTGTGTTTCTCCACCTAGGCTGCCCCCAGCATCTTTGGCAAGGTTGTCTGCTGCAGTCACTGTAAAGGGACTTTGGACAAGGAGGTGCTAGTTGTACTGGTAGGCGGGTATTTTCCTGTGTAGGGGATTAGAGTCCAAGCCTTGGCCTGGGGGCTTCATCTTGAATCTTGCTTAAGAAGGCACTTTTCCCCCCTGCAGAGCATGGCCACTTCCCTCCCGGTTTTCACAGCTAAAGGAAAATGCAGACCTCTGAATGCTGTGTGCATGGGCAGTCACTCATTCTGGTACCTGATCTATGAGAGTAGGAAAGGGATTTTTTTTTTCTTTGCCTAGTGTTAACATGCAGAAAAGAAGTGTGCTACAATTATTGATGAGGAAATTCTATACTTAATGGCATATATAGGCTAGTGATATATTCATGGCAGCCTGGAGCTAGTGTTACAGCTTCTAGCAGGAGATCCATCATAGTCTGATCTGTCTTTCCTGAGTGAGGCGTGGTTCAAGTACAGTGGCAGTTGCTAGGTACTTCTAGTCCCTTCCTCTTGGCTTGTAACAATTTTTAAAGTAACCATTGTTTCAGCTACTGAAAATGTTCTGGTGACCTTGTGTTTTGTTTTGTTTTTCTTCTCCTGATGCTTTAAAGGGCCTGAAGTTCTTCCCATATCTCCTTCTCCTCCCCCACCTTTCTTCTCTTCTACAAGGATCAGTGAAGTAGAGTAATAAATCCTCTTAGTTGTGCAAGCAAAGATTAATTTTAGTACTATTTACTATGAGTCTATGCTTATTCTCTGCCTAAATGTACACATGTAATACTAAGTTAAAGCAACCAGATACAGAAAAATTTTAACAGAAAGTTATGCATGTGAACATACATCCTGCACTTTATTTTTAAGGTTTTTGCTCATCCTACTATATTTGTTTAATGTAATAAATGTCTTTTAAAGATAATTACTGAAACAAAGCATCATATAGAGAAGTGTTATCGATTAGCTTGATGGCTTTTCAAAGTATGGGTTCCCAATAACCATCTTTCAGAGTAAGAAACAGGCATTTTCAGGACCTTAGAGGTTTCTCTGTTGTCACCAGTCCCCCAAGCCCCAGGGGAACCATTATTTTCATTTCAATATCACTTATAAATTTTGCTTGTTTTTCTTTACAGTAGGCTTTCTGTTGCGTTTCTAGCAACTGACATTGCAATGCTATGCTTGTCAAGTTGGTCTTGTTTGCAGTGGTGTTCTACCAGATTAATATACCTAAATGTATTTATTCCTTAGATTTTTTTTTTTAAAAGAGGATCTAGCTTTGTAGCCCAGGCTGGCTTTGACTTCACGATTCCCCTGCTTTAGCCCTCACAATACTGCAATTATAGGTGTGTGCCACCAAGCCCTGTAGCTGTTGGGACATAGCTGGCCTGCTTCCATTCGGGGCTAGCTTGTGTGGTGAACATTGCTTTGTGCATCTTTTGGTTCATGAGCATATAGAACAGACCAGTCTCAGATGCTGATTTGTGTTGCCTTGGCCTTAAGACCTTTCCCATTCCTAATTATTAATGTAGGTGTAAATTCAGTCTGGCAGTGTATATGACTCAGACATACATAGAAATGGCCTCAGTGGGTACATGGTGAGGATGCCCAAAGAACCTAGAACTGAGAGCCACCCAGAAATGTCGCTCTCAGCAGACACAAAGGAGGACATTTGGTGGAGTTAACTGTTAGTCCAAGGTCAGAAATCTGAAGTTCTTAGTTTTGAAGCAGAGATTTTTTTTTTTTGCCCCTTTAAAGACTTCTTCAGTTCTTGTAGTGTTGCAGATCAAGAGAGACAGATTTCCAGGTGGAATTTCTAGCTTTCTCCTTTAGGGAAATGCACAGTCCTGGAGGAGTGCCCTCCCTGCTTTATGTTTGAAGCTTCTATGCAAACCGGCCCCTCCACTCCTCCACCCAACTTTTCCAGCCACAAACAGCCTCTCTTTACTTTGACCTAATAGTACTGTATTCATTACCTTTCTGCTGCTGTGATAGAATGCCATAAACAAAACCTTCTGGAAGAGTTTATTTGGGCCTGTGATTCCAGAGGGAAAGTCCACAATGGCAGGGGAGACATGGCAGCAGGCAGCCAAGTAAGAAGCGTAGCTAGTACATCCCCACCTGCCAACTCAGGCACAGGGCAAACTGGAAGTGAGAGTGTGACTCTAACTCTCAGAGCCAGTCCCTAGTGACTGCTTTGTCCAGCAAGGCCATGCCTCTTAAAAGTCCCATACCATCTCCAAATATCACTAGCAACCAGAGACCAAGTGTTCAAATGCATGAGCCTATTGGGGACATTTCTTATTTAAACCATTACAGACATGTTTGTTTTATGTATGATCTCACATGTTTCCCCTTATACTATTGTTAATTTGATCATATAATCTAGTGATACTGTCAGCTATTCTAGGGATAAGGACCACCCAGGTTTTACTCCTTTGTACTTTTTAGGGCCTTATTCATAGATGGTATTACAGTATTTACTGATGTCTGTTAGTCTGGAAATCTTTTGTGTGTGTGTGTGTGTGTGTGTGTGTGTGTGTGTGTACTTGTGTGGAGGCCAAAGGTAGACATTGAGATGTCTTCCTCAGCTTCTTTCCATCTTATTTTTTGAGGCAAGGTCCCTCACTGAACCTAGAGTTTGCCAAAAGGGCAAGGTAGGCTGGCCACTGAGAGCCCAGGATGCACTTGCCTTTGATTCCCTGGTCCTAGAAGCACAAGTGCATGCTCTTACACTGGGCTTCTTGTGTGGATACTAGGGGTTTAACTTGGGTCAACTGTGTAGCAGCCACTTTCCTGACTAAACGATCACTTCAGTCTCTACTTTGATACAGTGACTTACCTTGCTGACTTGATTTTATAGACAGCAGGATGTGGGAAATAGTTAACCAGTTTCAAGTGCCATTCTTCTTTATAAGAGTAGGCTTTATACTCAAAGGGCTATAAAAATTAGAGAAAAAAATGCTGTGTTCAGCTTGTTGAAAAATTGGAGAGTTGCTGCCACTGATGATAAGCCAGAGTGGGAGGGGAGGACTTATGATTAGAAAGGGAACTTTTTCTTGTACCATTTTAATTCTTCAGAGAAAGTTATGCGATTTATAGGATTTCTCAGAGGACATTTTCATAGCTGCTAAAATCCTGATGAGTCAGCCATGACTGGGGGCTCCACCTCTTGGTTGTAAAGCATCTGTGTTGATAGAAGATCTCTGTCTTGGCCAGTTCTAAATGCTTCTTTAATGTGGCCTTTCCTTCCTCAGTTTCTTCTTGTTGGATATTTCCATTTGCAGTCCTGAGCTCCTAGGCCTTTTTCCTGAGACTGTGTAAGCTTTGAGAGCCACACTGTCTGCCACAAACCCTGAACCGGCCACTTGTGAGGAAAGTGACCTTGGGACTTGGGAGCTTGGCGTTAGTTTTCCACAGTGGATGGACAGAAAAGGAAGACATCTGAAAGACTGCAGATCCAGGTGTGAAGAAATGGGCTGTACTTGAGAGTTTTTCATTTGGTCCACTCAATTTACTGAGCTTTCAAAATAAGCATTAAAACAAAACAAAACAAAACTAAGCACTAGAACTTTCTTAGGAGTATAGTTCTAATGGTTTGGAAAACAATGTTTGATGACTCTTACATTAGGTTTCTATTACTTCAGTAACAAATTGCCAGATTATCACAGCCCAGATTAATTTTGTCAGTTTACACAAGTCAGAAACCCAGTAGGTTGGCTATTTTCTGTTTTGAGTCTCCAAGGGTCCAGACCCAGGTGCTGGTGGGGTTTTGTTCCTTCTGGAGGGTCTAGGGGGAAGCTGTAGCTCTGCTACGCTGGTGGCAGAAGCCAGTGGTTTATAGTCCCACTCCCTGATCTGAGATCTTCTTATCCTATTGTTAGATGATTAGCAAGCTTCATTCTGTGTACAAAGTCCCATTTATCATATTACATTAACATAAAATGGAGTTAGTGAGTGTGGACATCTTTGAGGAACAATAATCTGCCTAACATATAACACCATACTAAGATATAAAACATTTTCATCTCTCAGCAGCACTACACACATACACACACACACACACACACACACACACACACACACACACGTGCACCAAAACCAGACAATAGTTCTCTTTTCACCCTTCCAGCTGCCACTCATTATTTTCCTTCTCTGTAATTTTGCTTTTCCCAGGTTGTCATAAACACTTATATTTTTAAGTCTAGGTTTTTTCACATAGCAACTCTTTATGACTTACTTATATTGGGTATATTCATATATAAACAGGTTTGTTGCTATCTTGCATAATATTTTTCCACTGAATGTATGGACATACCACAGTGCTTATCCACTAATCTTCAAGGACATTTGGATTGTTTCCAGTTGGTATGATTATAAAGATAGCTGCTATAAGCTATTGCATATAGGTTTTATGTGAGCATACATTTTTGTTTCTCTTGGTTGAATGCCCAGAAGTGGGATCGCTGTATCATTTGGTAACTATATGTTTAACTCTATAAGAAACTGCCAAAGTCTTTTTCAAAGTGGTTGGATCATTTTTGCCTTCTTATCTAAAAGCAGTAACATTTTAAGCCAAAGTTTAAAATAGCTTAGTCAGTCACTTTAAGTGTGTGCTAAATTAGTAGTGTTTTAGTGCATCAGCCCTTCATCCCCTGTGCTCAAAATTCAGAAATGTTTCTCGCTCCTGAAAATAGACTAGTAATTTTCTATAAAAATGCCACCAAATATTGGAGTGCATGAACTCAAGGGAGTAGAGTAGTTACAAGCTGACACACATTGCATACACTACTTCAGTATTCACTATTCCCAGGGAAGCATACAGTTGGTGCTTCATAAATGAAGAGGTTATGTAGAGGCAGGTGGACACGAAAAACTATGGATTCCGCAGCTAGTGGTGACACTTTTTCCAAGTGACTTAACTATTCTGGGCCTCAGTTTTCTCTTATTAAAAGCGGGAAGAATTATATAACAGGGTCATTAGTCTAAAATGAGCCGGTCATTGTCTGGCACAAAGAAAATATCCAGCATTGATTATCTCCCGAGTTTTCCATCCCTTTATACACCACCCCCCCA